CGCCGGGGAGCCCGGAGAGCAGCACTTCGAACATCTCGCGGCAGGTAAGCGCTCTGACCTCGCCCAGGCGGGCGGGGAGTCCCGGTCTGCGGCGGGGGCAGCGACGCCTGCGGGAATTCCGCGCTGCAGCGTCGCTTCTGTCCCGGCGGCCGCGCGGGGGGATTCTCCTGCGTGCGTCAGCGGCTCCGGACTAGCTGTGGCTGGAGACCTGCCAGCGACGCTGCAATATGTTACGCTCAATTAGTTATTAACCAGAATTTGGGGCTGCGCTGTGAGAGGGATGGCTCACGATGCACCGGCAGCAGCTGCAGTGGCTGCTGGAATTAATCGCTATTCCTCTCTTTGCAGACACTTTCCCCGAAATCTCCCTGAACAACGAGAAAACCCTGCCAGAAACCAGCTATCCCAACCAAACGACGCGACTGCCACCAATAACCTACACGGGGCGCTTCTCCTTAGAGCCAGCCCCCAACAGCAGCAACCCCCTATGGCCAGAGCCCCTCTTCAGCCTCGTCAGTGGGCTGGTGGGCATGGCTAATGCACCACCCACTTCTACGCCTACTTCATCCTCATCATCCTCCTCCTCGCAGAGCTCCCCATTGAGCTGTTCTGTCCAAGCCAGCGAGAACAATCCAATTTATTCAGCTGCACCAACATTTCCTAATTCCAGCTCTGACATTTTCCCTGAATCCCAGACCCAATCCTTCCCCAACCCCTCTGGAGCCCCCATACAATATCCACCTCCAGCTTATCCGACTGCTAAAACCAACTTTCAGGTGCCAATGATCCCGGATTACTTGTTCCCTCAGCAGCAGGGTGAACTCAGTATTGTTCCAGCTGATCAGAAGCCCTTCCCAGCCCTTGAGACCAGAGCACAGCAGCCTTCTCTCACACCACTGTCCACTATTAAGGCATTTGCTACGCAGACTGGCTCCCAAGAGTTGAAGACCCTCAACACTAATTATCAGTCCCAGCTGATCAAACCCAGCAGGATGAGGAAATACCCAAACCGTCCCAGCAAGACACCTCCTCATGAGCGTCCCTATGCCTGCCCAGTGGAGTCCTGTGACCGAAGATTTTCACGATCGGATGAGCTAACGCGGCACATACGCATCCACACGGGACAGAAACCTTTCCAGTGCCGCATTTGCATGCGGAACTTCAGCAGGAGTGACCACTTGACTACACACATCCGCACACACACAGGAGAGAAGCCATTTGCTTGTGACATTTGTGGCAGAAAGTTTGCTAGAAGTGATGAGAGGAAGAGGCACACTAAAATCCACCTTAGGCAGAAGGACAAGAAAGTGGAAAAGGCAGCTCCAGCCTCAACTGCTTCCCCAATTCCTGCCTATTCATCCTCTGTAACTACGTCCTACCCCCCCTCCATGGCCGCCACTTACCCCTCCCCAGTGCGCACAGCGTATTCTTCTCCTGCTCCCTCTTCCTATTCCTCCCCTGCACACACCACATTCCCATCCCCTTCTATTGCAACCACCTACCCCTCTGGCTCTGCCACTTTTCAGACCCAAGTGGCCACCTCCTTCTCATCTCCAGGAGTTGCCACCAATTTCAGCTCACAGGTGACCTCAGCACTTTCAGACATGAACTCAGCCTTTTCGCCAAGGACAATTGAAATCTGCTGAGTACCTTCTGGAACAGGAGAATTCACCTTTTCCACTGGTGTTATCAGACATGGAGTTTCCAGTTACTCCCACAACACCATACGTTGCAAGGCTATTTAGTTTAAACATCAGCTGCCTGAATCAACTGCTGCTTAAGTTTTCCACCTCTCTTGAATGACTTCATTTGCATGGACTGTGGATATAAGTTCAATATAATTTTCCCCATAAACAATAGTCTTTTATTAGGAAGAAAGGACTTTTGATTAAGTATCTAGCTGATGTAAATTGTACATGTGCCATGGTTTTGCTTTCCTTTAGGTACTATTGATGTGGAAAAAAATCTTTGCACATTCATATTATATAATTTGGAGTTTGAAGGGCCATATTTTGTAAGTGTTAATTCTATTTTAGTGACAATGCTATAATGAATTTCAAACTTCTTTGGGAACAGCACTTACTGTATTTGAGCATGTTGGAGTGATGCTATGTAAATATCACCTGATGAGACACTCACATGTGGCAGAAGTTTTGTTTTAAAAGTTACAAGTCTTGGTGCCTTTTTGTGAAGCCTTGCTGACGTCATGCGTTTGTGTGAGTGGATGCTTTGCATCTTGCCTTAAAGTGGAAGGTATGTTTCTCAAAGAATGTAAGAAAGAGCAGGGAATGGGTGGGGAGAGGAGCAAGAGGAAAGGCCAGGGGATGGAAGTAGGCAAAAAAACCCAAAAAAATCAAACAAACCAAAAAAAACCAACCAAAACCCAAACCAGCCAACGAAACAAACAAAAAAAACAACGAGAAAACCACCCCAAAAAAACCAAACAGGAGAACCCCCACACCCTCTCCCCACCACCTCTTAAAATCTATTTTTGTTACAAAAATGTAAATTTATATATATATATATATATATAT